GTTATCATTGTTTTTAAGAAAAATAAAAATTAGACTGCAGACCACTCAGGCAAATAGAAGTTTTAGAATTTCTGGCTTCATGTATAAAATATTCAGTGAAAATGGAAGACAATTTTGGGGGAAATTATTTTTCTTTATAATTTAAGGAAATGAGTGACTTTTTTTTTTTTTTAAGAGAAAGAACCCCTTTATCCCAGTGGTATCCTTCATGGAAAGGACTATTCTGAAGCAAGGGTAATGATGGCAAGAGTCTTAGCAAGGTAATAAAGTACCTACCTTATGCTGGTAGTACAGGAAAGCTCTTTTTTATATTTATCTACCTTCCTATTAATACCTGACAACAGTAGAAAAGAAAGAGCCATCTTGGGTTCCTTTTCTTTTTAGTTTCTCCCCATTTTATCTTCTAGCTCCTGTGAGTCCCAGAATGCCTTTAGTTATTTCTCATTTTTAGAAGCAGCTTTCCTGGAAGAAAAGCTACATACCTCACTTTTTCCTCCTGAATATGGCAGTGTTGTCAACTCTAGAGCTGCATCTTTATGTGGTATTCTTGTATAAAAGGAGGTGGCTGCATGGATTTTTGAATTTTTGTATGAAGACTTACTCTTGTTTGTTGGTACTGTCGTTAAAGAGAACTACTTGATCTTAGTTACAAGTAATTCCTTAATTTTACAAATTATTTGCTTGCTTGAGTTCAGTGGGAGGCTTTGGAGTAAACTTAGGGATAGTGAAAATAGTTAAAGGTTTAGATTAGAAATGGAATATCTGTGATGCTTGAGGAAAAGGTAAAAGTAACAGATTTTTCCTTTTTTTGTTTTAGATTTGCTTATTATTTTAAATTATTTGTTATTTTAAAATTGTTATTGGGTTCTGGCCAGTTCTTTCTATCATAAGACATAGATTTAATATATGAGTAAGTAGTTGTATACTAGAACTTATTTTTGAAGATGATAAAATGTAAAACAAGTTTCTCTGGAAATTTAATGTCTAAATCTAAATAGTTTAGTGTTCAGTGGGGAAGGCTTTCTTAGATAGTGACTAATGTAGAGAACTGCTTTCTTATGTCCCTTTTATAGGCCTGTTTAGGATATTTTACTTTTTAAAATAAAGATGAAGTCAGGTATCACAATCTAGCTTTGAACAAATGTTGGGAAATTTAATACATTTTAAACATTGAGAGGGAGTGGTTAATAAAGAATAAAAAAAAATAAAAAAATTAAAAACCATTTATTTTCTCAGTTGTAGAGTATTGCCATAGCTTAAAACTTGTATATTGTGTTGATGGAGTTTTAAAGTGTTTATTGTTAATAATAGTTAATATTCATTGTATGTGTGCCATGTGCTGTGCACTAAGTGCTTTACATACACTGTTTAATTGTGAAATGAGATAAAGCTGATTGTGCAGATTTTTAAATTATGTATATTTATACCTGTCGTTGCTAATGACCTCCACCTTGCTCAATCTAATGGTCTGTTTTCAGTCCTCGTTTTATTTCACCCGTAAGCAGCATTTGACATGGTTCATCACTCTTTTCTCCTTAAATATACTGTCTTCACTAGTTTTCCAAGGACAGCTCACTCACTTGGTTCTCCTCCTTCCTCACTAGTAACTCCTTCTCAGTCTCATTTGCTGGTTCCTCCTCACCTTTCCAATATTTTAGTTCCTGGGTTTAGTCCTTGGTCCTCTTCTCTACACTGAGCTCATCCCTTAAAGTCCCATGGCTTTAAGGACTCTAAAGAGCTATGCCTCCCAAATTCGTATATCTAGCTCAGACCTCTTCCCTGACCTGCAGGCTTGTATATTTAGCAGTCTCCTCAATGTCAGCAGTTGGATATCTAACAGGCTTTTCAAACTTAGCATGTCTGAAATCCAAATGAGAGAGCATTAGTGATAAAAATAACAACAACAACAACAAAAAAAACAACTCTTAAGTAATGTGCATGAGTGAGAACAGAGACTGTTCTTTTTAACTCTAGTGGAATAGTATTGCTTTATTTGGGGGGGACAGACTTTAGTTGGTTTGGGCTCCTGAAATAAACTTTGTCATTTTTCCTTTTCCTTTTGTTCCTTCTTTTAGACCTTAATGCACAATTGAATTTGGGAGGAGACATTATTTTTTCTAAAAGTAAAAACTCAATTTCTTTTCCCACCTACATTGTTCATCACATTAAACCAGTTCTGCTTTTTAGGTATCATCTTTATCAGAAAGTGAGGAGTCTCAGGACTCATCTGACAGCATAGGCTCCTCACAGAAAGCCCACGGGATCCTAGCACGGCGCCCATCTTACAGGTAAGTACTTTCTTGTATCAAGCTCTGCCTATTATTATATTACCAAATGAGTTCAAAAGGTGCTGTGCAAAGCAAACTAAAGAGGGAGCATATGTTTAAGAAGGGAGGGTTAGGCTGGGTGCAGTGGCTTATACCTGTAATTCCAGTACTTTGGGGGACCAAGGCAGGAGGATTCCTTGAGGCTAGGTGTTTGAGACCAGGCTGGGCAATACAGCAAGACCCCATCTTGACAAAAAAATAGAAAAATTAGCTGGATGTGGTGGCATGTGCCTGTAGTTCCAGCTATTTGAGAGGCTGAGGCAGCAAGATCACTTTAGCCCAGGAGCTGGAGGCTGCAGCAACTGCATTCACTCCTGAGAGTGACAGAGTGTGCTCTGTCTCAAAAAATTAAATAAACAAATAAAAATAATTTAAAAACAAAAAATGGGCAAAGGACTTGTACAGACATTTCTCCAAAGAAGACATAAAAATAGCCAACAGGTATATGAAAGGGTACTCAGCGTCACTAATTATTAGGGAAATTCAAATTAAAACCACTAAGCACATACATAAGGATGGCCATCATCAAAAAGACTAGAGATAACAAATGTTGGCAGGGGTGTGGAGAAACACTGTTGGTTGGAAAGATATAAACTCTCATTCCTTACCTTTATACGTTCCATTACAGTGGTAAAATATTAATTATAAGTAGACTGTGAAAAGCTAGGTATCTGTACACCCCTAGCACAACTACTAAAAAAAATTACACAAAGAGATTTAGTAAAATAGACAATAGATAAATTGAAATGAAATTCTGAGAAATCTTCAAATAAGCAGACGAAGGGACACAGAAGAATGAAAAAAACCCAGAATAAACAGAAATCAAATAATAAAATGGTATATCAACCAATATCTATAATTATATTAAGATGTGGCTTAAATTCACCAATTATAAGGCAATTGTTAAACTACAGAACAATATCCGTCATGAGTATAGACACAAAAATCCTCAACACAACATTAGCAAACCAAATCCAACAACATATACAAGGTACTAAATGCCATGACCAAGTAGGAATTATCCCTAAAATGCAAGATTGGTTTAACTATCGAAAATCAATTAATGGAGGGAGGAGGCAGAGCAAGATGGCCAAATAGAAACTTCCAGCGATCATCCCTCCACACGACTACCAAATTCAACAACTATCCACACAAGCAAGTACCTTCAGAAGAACCCAAAATCAGGTCAGTGATCATACTACCTAATTTTAACATTGTATCAAAGAAAGAGGGCAGAAAAGACAATCTTGCAGGTGCCTACACCACCCTTCCCTCATCTCCTGGCAGTGCTGTGCCAGCATGCTCAGCGGAGAGAGAATCTATGTGCTGGGGGAGGGAGAGTGAAGTGACTGTGGGACTTTGGATGAAACTCAAGGCCGCCCTGGCACAGGAGAACACAGCACAGAGCAGAATTCTGCCCATGCACACAGAGGGAGCATTTAGATCAGTCCAACCACAGGGAATTCCTGTACCCCAAAACCTGAGTTCCAGCTAACCCTACCACTGGCCAACAAAAGCAACCTGGGGACTCCTAAATAAAAAAAATATTAATAGAACAACGTCAAATAAACAACGATGCATCTCAAAGAACTAGAAAAATAAGAGCAAACTAAACCCAATATTAGTAGAAGAAAAGAAATAATAAAGATCAGAGCAGAAATAAATGAAATTCTAAACAAAAAAATACAAAAGATCAATGAAACAAAAAGCTGGGTTTTTGAAGATAAATAAAATTGGCAATTCTTTAGCCAGATTAAGAAAAAAAAAGAGAGAAGACCCAAATAAATAAAATTAGAGATGAAAAAGAAGACATTACAACTGATGCTGCAGAAATCCAAAGGATCATAACAGACTACTATGAGCAACTATATGCCAATAAATTAGAAAAACCTAGAAGAAATGGATAAATTCCTAGACACATACAACCAACCAAGCTTGAGCCAAGAAGCAATCCAAGACCTGAATAAACCAATAAAAGTAAGGAGATAGAAGCAGTAATAAAAAGTCTGTTACCAAAGAAAAGCCCAGGACCTGATGGCTTCACTGCTAAATTTTACTGAGCAAAGAACTAATACTACTTAAACTATTCCAAAAAATCAAGGAGGGGATACTGCCAAACTCATTTTATAAGGCCTATACCAACCTGATACTAAAACCAGACAAAGGCACAACAGAAAAAAGAAAACTACCTGCCAATATCTCTGATGAACATAGATGCAATCCTCAATAAAATACTAGCAAACCAAATTCAACAACACATTATACAGATTATTCATTATGATCCAGTAGGACTCATCCCAGGGAAGCAAGGATGTTTTAATATACACAAATCAGTCAGTGGGATACATCATATCAATAGAACAAAGGACTAGCCATGTGATCATTTCAGTTGATGCTGGAAAAGCATTCAATAAAATTCAACATCTCGTCGTGATAAAAATTCTCAAAAAAACTAAGTATAGAAGGAACCTACCTCAACACAATAAAAGCCACATATGATAGACCCATAGCAAGTATCACACTGAATTGGGAAAAAGTAAAAGCCATTCTTCTAAGATCTGGAACAAAACAAGGATGCCCACTTTCATCACTTATTCAACATAGTACTAGAAGTTCTAGCTAGAGCAGTTAGATAAGAGAAAGTAATAAAGGACATCCAAATTGGAAAGGAAGAAGTCAAATTATCCTGGCTTGTGGACAATATGATCTTATATCTAGACAAACCTAAAGACTCCACAAAAAAACCTATTAGGACTGATTAAAAAATTCAGTAAAGTTGCAGGATACCAAATCAACACACAAAAATCAGTAGCATTTCCATATGCCAAGAGTAAACAATCTGAAAAAGAAACCAAGAAAGTAATCCCATTTACAATAGTTACAAATAAAATAAAATGCCTAAGAATAAACTTAACCAAAGATGTGAAAGATCTCTATAAAGAAAACTATAAAACATTGAGTAAAGAAATTGAAAAGGACACCAAAAAATGGAAAGAATATATATTCAGTGCTCGTGAATTGGAGGAATCAATATTGTTAAAATGTCTACACTACCCAAAGCAGTCTACAGATTCGGTGCAATCCCCATCAAAATGCCAATGACATTCTTCACAGAAATAGAGAAAATAATCCTAAAATTTACACAAAACCACAAAAGATCCAGAATAGCCAAAGCCATCCTGAGCAAAAAGAACAAAACTGGAGGAGTCACATTACCTAACTTCAAATTATACTACAGAGCTATAGTAACCAAAACAGGTTGGTATTGGCATAAAACCATAGACCAATGGAACAGAACAGACAACCCAGAAATAAATCCATACTTCTATAGTGAACTTATCTTCGACAGAGATGCCAAGAACATAACAGTGAGGAAAGGACAGTCTCTTCAGTAAATGGTGCTGGGAAAACTAGATATCCATGTACAGAAGAATGAAACTAGATCCTTATCTCTCAACGGATAAAAAAATCAAATCAACATGGATTTAAGACTTAAATCTAAGACCTAGAACTGTGAAACTACTAAAAGAAAACATTGGGAGATTGCTTCAGGGCATTAGTCTGGGCAATGATTTCTTGAGTAATAACCCCAGAGCACAGGCAACCAAAGCATATTGGGCAAATGGGATCACAGCAAGCTAAAAAGCTTCTGCACGGCAAAGGAAACAATCAACAAAGGGAAGAGACAACCCACAGAATGGGAGAAAATATTTGCAAACTACCCATCTGACAAGGGATTAATAACTAGAATATATAAGGAGCTCCAACAACTCAACAGAAAAAAATCAAATAATCCAATTACAAAATGGGCAAAGGATCTGAATGTATATTTCTCAAAAGAAGAAATACAGATGGCCAACAGGTATATGAAAAATGCTTAACATCATTTGTCATCAGAGAGATGCAAATCAAAACTACAATGAGGGCCCGGGCGCGGTGGCTCACGCCTGTAATCCTAGCACTCTGGGAGGCCGAGGTGGGTGGATCGCTCAAGGTCAGGAGTTCGAGACCAGCCTGAGCAAGAGCGAGACCCCGTCTCTACTAAAAATAGAAAAAAATTAGCTGGACAACTAAAAATACATAGAAAAAATTAGCTGGGCATAGTGGTGCGTACCTGTAGTCCCAGCTATTTGGGAGGCTGAGGCAGGAGGATCACTTGAGCTCAGGAGTTTGAGGTTGCTGTGAGGTAGGCTGATGCCACGGCACTCTAGCCTGGGCAACAGAGTGAGACTCTGCCCCCCCCCCCAAAAAAAACTACAATGAGATATCGTCTTACCCCAGTTAAAATGGCTTTTATCAAAAAGACAGGCAATAACGAATGCTGGCCAGGATGTGGAGAAAGGGGAACCCTCATAAACTGTTGGTGGGAATGTAAATTAATACAGCCACTATTGAGAATGGTATGGAGGTTCCTTAGGAAACTAAAAGTAGAACTACCACATGATCCAGTTATCCTACTGCTGGGTATGTATCCAAAGGAGGAGAAATCCATATATTGAAAAAATATCTGAACTCTCATGTTTATTGCAGCAATATTCTTGATAGCCAAGATTAGGAATCAACCTAAGTGTACATCAGTGGATGAATGGATAAAGAAATTATGGTACATATACACAATGGAATATCACATAGCCACGAAAAAGAATGAGTCTGCCATTTGCAACAACATGGATGGAACTGGAGGACATTATGTTAAGTGAAATAAGCCAAGCACAGTAAGACAAATTTTATATGTTCTCACTCATATGTGGGAGCTAAATATTAAAAACAATTGATCTCATGGAGACAGACAGTAGAATGATGGTTACCAGAGGCTGGCAAAGGCAGCGGGAGGGGGGATAAAGTGAGGGGGGTTAATGGGTACAAAAATATAGTTAGTTAGTTAGTTAGATGGAATGAACGATATTTGATAGCAAAACAAAGTGACTATAATCAACAAGTTAGGGTATACTTCAAAATAA